TAACTTTACTGCCAAAATCTTTTAAACACATGGCCACACACACACACACACACACACACACACACACACACATATATATATGGACAGAAAATACTGTATATATGTTGGAAGATAACATATGTTCTGTTCTTAACCTTCCCAGTAGTATTTATTCTCTCTCATTTAACTGAGGAAGGAAAAAGTCTCCAAAAGTGTGTGTAGGAGTGTGAAAATGTACGTCCATCATGTTTATTACTTCTGCTTTCTCCTCTCATGTTAATTCTACGTTCTTCTCTGGAGAATTTCTTTGAGTTTTGAGCTTCTTCAATGTATTTTAGAAGAATTTGAAAGCAGAAGTGAAGACGTCAAACTCAGTAACAGTTCATTTTGTCAGAGATACACTGGATGAGATGAGTTCATGTTTGCTTTATGTTTGTGATTAAGTGTGTTAGCAAAGCATTTCAGAAAAAAAAAACAATGAGGTAAAAAACAGTGATTTATCAGTTGTGTGTATTGCCTGGTACAAAAAGGAGGACTTGTTATGCCTCTGTGTATGTGTGTTCATTTGGCTGCATTATAAACCAATGAACAGATCTAAATACAATTTCAGAGAGTAATCACTAGGTTAAATTCAAAACCAATTAGCTTTTGGAGTCAAACCAGTTCAGGACGGCTGCCACAGATGATCAGCCTTAGTCTACACAGAAATGGTCATTCACAACACATATTTCAAGCACTAACAAATCATGCAAGCTCATGCAAAAAGATCACAATATGTGACCCATCACATTGAAACGAGAATTAAGTCCAAAAGTGGTATATGGAGAAATAGGCAAATATAGTGTTTTGATTATAACATTTGCAAAAATTGCAATTTGTCAAAACACAATGAATAAATGCCTTATCAATGTATCATTTGAATGAAGTGTCTGAAATATAATCATTAAAACAAAAATATGAAGCGCTTTTTGAGCAGTAGCAACAAAAAACCTGATTTTGAGGAAAAACACCTTAAAATTTTGAGATTTTCCCTGTGAGCTAGAAATGTTTTTTTTTTCTTTTCAGCTGGGAAATCTTAATATTCAAATATAATTTGAGGTTTCCTCTTTATAAGGACATCACAAATTCCTTATTAAAATTACAGAAAATTAGGATTCAGACCAAATATTTATGTATTATTGCAACCTAAAAGACAAATTAAGTCATATATATGGATTTATGATATCAGAATGATCCAGGTATCAAAATGTAGCTTTTAAAGCCAGGAATCTGAAAATGTAATTCAGTCATTTTGATCAAATTTGATTTAATCCTCATTTTGATATAATGAGTCACATATTGCAAGAAATTGCACAGTTATTTTCAAGGTTTGACCAAAATGACAACTCTGTCATGTCTCCACATCTGTCTGAAATGCCTTGAAGGAAAAGCAGGTCTTACATTTTATCTGTGTGTGTAGTCAAAAATATGAATGTATTTTTACTCTATTTTCACCAAAGCTGCTGTTATCAAGGTATAAACACCTTTTCTCTCAGTAAGTGGTCCAGATCAGGATTTTTGCTCTCACTATAGTTCTATTAGTAAATGTCAGTGTTGCAGGGTTTCACTTGTCTCTGTGTGTGTGTGTGCATCTGTGGTGTTGTGTACGTTTGGCATCTGTTAATCGAAATGGTGTAGCTTGGCCAGTGCAGCAGCGCCTCAAGGTTTTTTTTTTATGCTTGTGCACAAAGCATTAGCTGTGACGCCTGTGTGGGAGTGTGAAATTCATCGTTTTGTGTTCCTGCCAACACGCTGGCTCCGCCATCATCATTTGCATTAACGCCGCTCATCTCCCGTTTCACAATGAGTCATTTGAGCGGATTTCACAGCAGAGATTTATACTATTATAAGAAAAACCAAAGCAAATAGGCTGTAAAGATTAGAGGTTTGTTATTGGTTTTTATTGGGTCTGAAGAGTGTCTGCGTGTGTGGGATCATTCTAAACTCACCAATGTTGGGTGAGACCAAGGCCACAGGGTTGAGGTAGGTAAGTTTCATATTCTGGGCCAGATTCTTGGTGTACTGTTCCAGCAGATCCGTCAGTTCAGCAGGACCACCACCCAGGATGTGGTTCTGGCTCTGAGCGAGAGCTCTCCAAAGTCCCGAGGTGCTGGGACCCAACAACACGCTGCAGCCTCGCAGGATGTTCTGGAGGCAGAAGAGAAATGAAGAATTACTCACTGTATATAAGTTGAAGGAGAAAAAAACTAATTAAATATTTTGATTTTTGGAGGGTTGCATGTTGTGTTAGCTCCAAGAAAAAAAAATTACAATATAAAACAGAATATAGGATTAAAAACAAGTTCATTAAAAAAAACATTTACGCTCACTGTTCTCACAAAGAACAAGCCACATTTTATTTTACATATTTTATTCTGATTTAAAGTAAAAACCTCTGCAACCACTCTGCATCTTTTTTAATGCAGCTTTAATACGAGCCCTTTCAGATACAAAGTATCCTGATTAGCATATTTGACAACCAATTATTGTTGATTTACACCTGGAAAACCAGAAAAGCCCTACTGAGAGGTGGAACTGTGTGGAAGCTTTTATTTTTTCCACAACAAATACATTCTGTAAAGGTCTGAAAAAATATATAAATTTAAATTGTTTTGAGAAGAAACAGAGGAACAAAAATCATAATGTGGAACATAATAAAAAAACACAAAAAAAGAAAATTAAAAAGTAGTGAAAAAGAAAAGCTGTGGACAAACTTAACTAAAATTAACTAAATAAATTCAGAACTAAATTAGTTTAAAAATACCCCTTTGACTCTAAATTCCTTCATTCAGGATTTTATATTTTGTTAACTGCTTTATTATTTTTGTCGCACTCTTGTTTTTCCATACAAGTAGTGTCTGAAAAGTTTCATTTAATTATCATTCATAACTTTGTGTCTACAAAAAATCGTGACTATATACATTCAGTTTACTTTTAAATGCTGTATATTATTTAAATATTCCACACGACATACAGTAATTTGCTACAAATATTTTTTTCTTTATATTTGACAGTAAGAACCTGTGTGAGGTTCTACACAGCAGTGTAACTTATTGTATTGAAAGAAGTTCTTGTTTGCACTTTCAGAGTTTGAAACCGATCCTGTTTGATGAGGAGAGAAGCCAACTTTGACTGAAAACATTTTGCTCAACAATCCCTTTTACCAGAAGTACAGTTTAAAAAAGGTAAGCTTAATGTCAAGCCAGATACGTCTAGATCCCAATTAGAGTAAGTTTTACCACCATCTGTGACGCCTGTCATTTCTTTTGAAAGAACATTTGTGACCCTGGAACGAAGCCTGTTAGAGGAAGTAAGGAGGAGTGAACAGTGGCAGAAAGAAAACCGCTCTGAACAAAGAGTAATATAAGAGCTTTATGATTCCTAACAGTAAGACGGAACCAGAGCCAATAAAGCAGTGCAGTGTCATACAAGGCTCTGGGGAGACAAAATACATCAGGCAACCTTCAGACAAACAAGAGGAATTACATACAGTGCAGTGTAGGAAGAAGGTTGTGAACTGCTCTGGGAATTATGTATAAAGCAGAAAAATGACAGAATGAAGGAGAGGTAAGACAAAGAATTTAGGCAGGAAGAGAAATGGAATAAATCAGAAACAAAATGTGAAATACTGTATGTACCTTATTTTCTGCTGTTTAAAGGTTTAGGCTTTTTATTGTAATTAAAGGGGGGTATTATGTATTTTACAGACACAGAGTTCAATTCTATACTGGGTATGGTTGTAACATGGGGAGAGCTGCAACACCACTAATTCCACCAATCACATATAAGATAGGAGTCTTTCCCCAGGAGTTTATATACAGGAGTTTCCCCATTTCCACCTCGACCCCACACGAGGCTTTTACTCACTGCAAGGCCGTCCCCAGCCCGGACCGGCCTGGCCCAGCTTCTAACCCGGGTTGGTGGTTGTCAAAGCCAGAAACAGGTGAAAGCAGACTAAACAAAGAAAAGACTAAATCTGAGGTAAGAAAGTACATTTTTGAACCAAGACTATATTTTGTTTAGTACCTTTACTGTTGCATATTACATGAAATTGTGGCTTCTCAGGTAAAATATGATGCATTTCCCCCTGCTAATTTCAAACCATTATGCTAATACAGCTAGCTAAAAAATGGCTGGGTGGGGTGGGTTATAACCACGGGGCCGCTGTGGCGGAGTGGTTAGGTGAGTCGTCCTGGAACCAGAAGGTCGCTGGTTTGATCCCCTGTCCAGCCGTCTCAGTCGTTGTGTCCTTGGGCAAGACACTTTACCCACCTTGCCTACTGATGGTGGTCAGAGGGCCCGGTGGCGCCGATGTATGGCAGCCCCACCTCTGTCAGTG